TAATGCACTCTTGTTTGTTTTGTTTTTTCGAGACAGGGTTTCTCTATGTATCCCTGGATATCCTAGAAGGACATGTCTTACTCTGTAGACCAGGCTGGCCTTGAACTCAGTGATCCATCTACCTCTGCCTCCAGAGTGCTGGGATCAAAGGTGTGCCCTACCAGTGCTCAGCTTGTAATACACTCTCGTAAAATTGTTGCTTTTGCAGTGGGGGTTGATACAAAGTCCTGTGTAACCCAGGATAGCCTCAAATCTGTAATTCTTCTGTCTTAACCAGTGGAGTGCTGGGACACATCTGTAATGGAAACAGCTGTCACTTGCCAAAATCCAAGGGACCAAATTCTCAATTTCCTAATTGCCAGTAAAACAGCCTGACATTCCTGTGAATTAAGTTTAGGATCCTTGGAACACAATTTATACCAGTTCCTCAGACTTCCCTGTGCCAACCATGTGTGGTTCACAGTTCCTAAGGGAAATTTAAGTATCTATTGAAATAGTTTTGCTGTTTCGGCTTTGGAATAAACATGTTCCCACTGAAATAAAGATGGTATTGCTTACTTCATAAGCAACAGATGTTGGTAAGTACTTGGCATACAAGACATTTTTTTCCTCAGTCATGGGGATTGAACTCATTTAATTCAGGAAACTTGGAGATTATTTTTCTATTGTTGCTATTTTAGGGAGAAGAAAACCACAATGTTCAGAATTCAAATACTCTAGCTCACATCTCATAGCCAGCCAGCCAATTAGGATAGGTCTGAGTTACAGTTTGTTTCTTTTTTTTTTTTTTTAAAGATTTATTTACTTATTATGTATACAGAGGAGGGCGCCAGATCTCATTACAGATGGTAGTGAGCCACCATGTGGTTGCTGGGAATTGAACTCAGGACCTCTGGAAGAGCAGCCAGTGCTCTAAACCTCTGAGCCATCTCTCCAGCCCTATAGTTTGTTTCTTTAGTTTATTGGGTCTTTGGTTAGTATGGCTTGATGTTTTGAGGTGGGGTCTCTCTGTGTTGCCTAGGCTGACCCCAAACTCTTGGGCTCAAGCAGACCTCCTGCCTCAGCCTCTTGAGTATCTGACAACAAAACATTATTATTTTTTTTTCTGGGGTTTCTATCTTAGTGACTGTTCTATTGCCAGGGGGAGACACCATGACTAATGCAGTTTATAAAAGAAAGCATTTAATGGGGGGCTTGTGTAGAGTTTCAGAGGGTGAGTCCATTTCCAGCATGGTGGAAGCATGGTGGCAGGCAAGCATGGCCTGGAGCAGAAGCTGAGTTTACATCTAATCCAAAGGCAGCAGGCAGAGGACAGGGACAGAGGGAGAGAAACCTCAAAGCCCACTCACTCCCAGTGACACCCTTCTCCACAAGGCCACCTCTCCTAATCCTTCTAGACAGCCAAGCAACTGGAAAGCAAACATTCAAATAGATGAGGGTCTGGGGGCCATTCTCATTCAAACTGTCACAGATTTTTATACACTCTCACATAAACCAGGCTAGCTTTGAATTATGTAGCCTAGGATGATTCTGAACTCCTGATTCTTCTCTAGCCCATAAGCCCATTGAAGGTGTGTGCCACTGTGCCTGGCAGTTTTTAAATCAACTGTACTGTCAATTTGGGGATCAAAAGTATTGGGTAGTGTTCTCAGTGAGGCTGCTGAAATCCTGAAGTACAGAAGATGGCCTCTGAGAAGCACATCAGTGGAGTTGACTGAGGTATTCTGGGTTTGAGCAATGTCTAGAGAACAGATTCTGGGTGGCTTTTCTGATTTAGGTCTATACTGAACAATGCCACTTGCGGCTTGACTCTTCCAAGCTGTATCATCACATAAAAGATTTACAGGGTACGTACCCCAAGAGAGAACATACGTAGAATGAAGAGACAACATGTGGCCCGTCTGGAGGGGAGTATTATTCAACCTTAGAAAGGAAATACCGATATGCTACACCATGTGTGCACCTACAAACAGGCTCAGTGACAGAGACTAAGTGTCAAAGCTCACACATGTATGATTTCATATATGTGGAATGTCTAGTTAGGCACATACAAAAGACAAAAATAGATTAGTGATTGCCAAAGGCTATGGTGAGGGTAGAGTATGGGGTGATTGCTGATGTTTCTTTTGGGGACTGTTGTTACACAACCTTGTGAATATAAAAAAAAAACTTTAATTGTGTACTTTAAAGGATGAATTTTATTATATGAACTATAACTCAGAAAAAATGAAACAACTTCACAGTTAAGTCTCTACCACAGGCCCCACAGCCAGCTGATCCAGGGCCAGTTGTAGCACCTACAACTCAGGGCAACCAAGAAGAATATCCAAACATGAAAGTTACCCGTAAGCCTTTACCAGGGATAGCTGGGATGTATGAGGACACAAGCATGTTTGTGAAGACGCAGGCTTGTCCTGAAGTATGCCTCCAAAAGGAGCAGCCTTGCTCCTGCTCATCCTTCATTTCCACTCTCGGGGTTTTGGTGCAGGGTCTTGTGTAGCTGAGGATGATCTTGAGCTTCTGATCTTCCTGCCTCCGTGTCTCCGTGTTTTGTGCATGTGGGAGTCAGATGACAACTTTGTAGGACTGGTTCTCCCCTCCCCCGTTATATGAATTATGGGAATCAAACTTAGGTCTTAGATCTCCAGGCTTTCACAGCAAGCACCCTGACATACCAAAGCTATCTTGATGGCCCCTTGTTTTTGTTTTCCGTATCCTATGAAACTCTCTTATACTCAATTCGGTGAGACTAACTTCCCTTTCGTGACATATTTTTCTATAAATAGTGCCTGAACTGAGAATGCTTGCCTAGCAATGTATGAGGCCCTAAGGTCAATCTCCAGCACTGCCCAACCTCTCCTCCCCTGAAAGAGATATATGTACAATATTCAAGGAAGAAATTGGTATATTGAACTGGAAATCCACGTGTAGCTAGACAGCAGGGGCGTCAAGGAATGACAGGAATGGTTGTATTGAAAACCTTAGATGTTATCCTAAAGACAACAGAATGTCAGTGGAAAGTGTCAAGTTGAATGGTGACATAATCAGATGTTACCAGACTATTTTAGTTAACTAATGGATAAAGTTCACTGAGTAGATTTAGTTACTGTTGGATAAAGGTAAGGAGATGTAGAGAAACAGGCTTGGGAAATATTTGGGGGGGGAGGAGGCCTCTTTGGTTTAGTTTTTGCTTTGTAATGCTAGAACCCACCACAGAGCCTCCCATATACTAAATAAGCACTCTATCACTGAGTTACTTCCCCAACAGGATTGAGAAATGTTTTTGAGGTTATCATTCATAGAAATTCATGAGAATGGATGAGGAGTTGGAGCAGCTTATAAACAACAGAAATGTTTTTCACATTGCTAGATGCTGGGAAGTACAAGACTAGTGTGCTGGCAGACCCCATATCTGGAAAGGGCCATTTTATAGATCTTGCCCCCCCCACACACACACCAAGACAGGGTTTCTCTGTGTATCTCTGGCTGTCCTGGAACTCACTTTATAAATCAGGCTGGCCTTGAACTCAGATCCGCCTGCCTCTGCCTCCCAAGTGTTGGGATTAAAGGTGTGTGCTACCTCTTGAAGGTTCCTCTAAGGTGGAAAGTGCTGGCTAGTGCTCTGAAGTTTCTAAACTTCAGAACTAAATACGGGTTCCACATTCATGACCTAATTACCTTCCAAAGTTCCCCACCTTCTAATACTATCCTCTTGGAGCTAGGATTCTAGCATATGAATTTTGGGAGACAAACATTGGAACCACAGTGGGAGGGGAGGAAGAGGAGGTGCAATTGTGTGGATGGCGTACCATGTGCTGGAGGCAGAGGCTAAATGCATGCGCAGTTTTGGACAGGTATTTGGATTTATCAAAAATGTTCAAAGGAGGATATCTCAGGTACTTGACTACTGGACTTGAGTGCAACAGAGAGGAGAAAACTGGACTGACATCAGATAAGTCAGTGCCATCATACACGTGACTAAAATCATTCAGGGGAAACCATTTACTCAAGGTGAGCCAAGTACACACTGTGACTAACCAGAAGCACATTAGATAGTACAATGCTCCAAGGAACTAGCTGTGCTTCCAGTTCAGCTATTCTAGAGGGGTATGCGGGAGGATCAAGACAGCTTGAGGACATGAGGTAAAGGTTAGTCTGGGCAACGTAACAAAAACAATCTCAAAGTCAATCAAGCAGCAGACGTAGCAAAAGTAAGCTGCTGACGTAGGTTCCAGAGAAAATGCTCTACCCAGAGCAAGCAAGAAGCTGAGGGGACAAAGCTGCTTCCTCTGGTCCAACATGGTCCTTGCCTCCATTGCAGCATGGAGATGAGGTCTTTATAGCCTCAACGCACTACCCTTGCACAGACACACTCACACTTAGCCCGGAATAACCTCAGTTATTAACCTCACATCTCTGTCCATAGCCTAGTTTCTGCTGAGACCCTAGAGTTGCTGGGTGGCCACAGGGCAGACAATGCCTTAGCAAACTCCACCGCTAGATACCTAGCCCCAAAAGCCAGGGCAGTGTGCAAAATACAGATGGAAGTGGACACTGGAAGTGACCTCAGCTTCCGGCTTCCTGCCCGCCTGGTGAGGCAAATAGCATCTGGTAAGCATCAGTTCCAACCTGTACTACTGGTAGCTGCTTAGCCAGCCTAGGATCACTTCGAGGCCACCGGAAACCAAAAGGAAAAACCACTTACCATATTCCTTCCCAGCTGGGTCTGTTTAGACAACCGCTACCCGGTGGAGCTAGAGATACTTGGTCCTATACTGCTACTGAAGACTGGAAGGTAGGTAGACATCTAGTGCTGTCTTAAAATAATGCTGGAACCTTACACTGAATTCCAGTGAACAAGACATGTTGTTTCCTTTATCAAGTGGGTAAGGTAATTCATTCACATTCTCTAAACTACTATCCAATTAGCCTTTTCGAATTAGCCTTAACTTTACTGCAACCTAAAATCACTGAAGAATACATTTTAAAAGTTCACAGCCTTGCCATCATCATAAAAATAACATTTATTGGATGATAAATTGCACATCAGATACGCACAATCACAATTAAGAAACTTCAATCTAGAGCTAAGACCAACGAGAATTCATCAAAAACAGTAAAACAGTAAGCTGAAACGTTAAACAGAAGTACACACAGAAAACCTATTAACTAGGCATCAAAATAACTAGACATAGTAGAATATTCATAAGTTTATATAAATGAATATGTTGTATTCCCTTTCTCCCTAGACAGTTCTTGCAGGCAAGGATCTCAATTCAAAGGGACAAAACACCTGTAGTTAGCCTTGGAAAGATAGGTAATAGTTATTTTTATATCACATAAATAGTTCTTGTAATATACAAGACTAAAACAGTTAAATATACACACTTAAACATAATTTACCTTTTAAACAAATAAAGCAAAAGCAGTTTCCTAATGAGATCCCTGCAACATTCAAAATAGGTTCTTTTTTTAAAGAAGCTATATAACCTACACCTCCCTTTGAATACATATACAATAAATTAGAGATTATTTAAAGCAAAATGTATCTTTTCAGATTGTTTGGCATCTTACATTACAGTCACCAGAACACTACTACTTAATTTTATGGAACTTTAGGCATCAAAGACAAAAAGGCCATTTAACTGCCTGGGTTACTGGGCCAGCTGTCTTCAGGGTTACAGGGACATATGAACAGATTGGTATTTGTAGCAGCACAATTCTAGACAAAATATTTTGAGTTCAACTCCTTCAACAACAAAATCTAACATCACCTAAATACAAAGTGCAAACACTAGCATCTAAATTCCACTGGGAAATGTTGTCATCAATGATGACAGTTTAACAGAACTTGGTATCCCCAAGTTCCAAGTTATGTTAAAGAACTGTTTTAGTCACATTTTCATCACAGCATCAACAAAACCCATGAAGTCTGAGTTCATGTTTTCAGTACCAAGTTTCCACTTCATAGAGTCAACATCCCTCCTACAATATGTAGTTAGCTAACCATTCATAGCAATAGACTCTTACATTCCATTTTCTTATCCCTTTATGAACTGTATCCAATAATTGTTATTAGCACCTAACATGACTTGCTAATATCCTGGGTTAAGAGCAACCAATCTTTTGGAATCTACTCTAGTTGGCAATATAATTAGGAGGATGAAAAAGCCATTATCATAAAAATAGCCCAAATACCACAGGCACACAGAGTTCTTCCTTCAACTCCTTAGGGGCAGAGCAGCTTGAGAATGACATACTACTACTGTTTTTAGGAACAAGTACACAATAAAAAAAAATAACTAAAAATATACCTATTTCACAGTAACTAACATTCGTTTTTTTCCTTTTTTCTGCAAACCACTCACTAATAATATTTCACCACAGGCCATTTAATTACTCTCACATATAGTAATGATTTTTGTAAAAATGCCTTTTTTCTAATCTTTTGTGGGTAATCTTTCAAAATCTGGAGAATGCAGAAAACTACAAACACTGAGAGATAAATTGTGAATAGAGCTCTAACTAGAAGTGTGGGTTTCCATGTTAAGATGTGCAGCATAAAACTCACCTTTTGTATTTTCTTAGAAGGAAAAAAAAAAAAGGGTGTGTGTCTGACAACTTCCATTTGTTATATTAGCCACATTTTGTCCAGGTACCTTCCAATACCTTTCTGTACCAACCCTATTAGTAAGGGCCTTTTTCCCCCCAATTCCATTCCCCATCCTGTAACTCTTCAGTCTTCACTCAAATATGAAAGCCGATGAGGGCATACCAGTTCCCCCTCTGAGAAGCAGAAGAGTAGGAAACTAATGCTCTTGTTGCTGTTATCAACCACCGTTATATCCTAGAGTTAGCTAAAGACTTGAGACTACCTTTTGGTACAATTCAAAGCATCTTTGACCAAGGGCTGGAGACCAGAAGGCCAATTTAAATGTGAGGCCCCAAATCCTGACACAATGATGCTTTATAGCCTAAATGTGGAGAAACAGCTAAGTCTAACCTTGACATACAGGCCACACAGTCTCAACTGTGGATAAGCTGAAATAGTGCTCTCCAGGAAAGGGACGACAGATGAGGCAAGGCTGTTGACTTAAGTTTTTCTCACTCAGCAACAGTGATCATCCCATCTCTAGTAAATATTAAGAGCTTAGTTGCATGGCTGGCATTTTTTTGTACATAAAATTCTCAACCTGCTCTTCTGTTAGAAGGTACATTTTAGCCACTGACCCTCAAGAGGGCTTTATATTTTGTGCATGAAATTTCCTAGCAGTAATTCCGTTTTAGTAAATATTATATTTTTTACAGTCCATTTAGATAAAATGAAATCATACTTGCATACTAGCCAAAAGACCATATAGATAGTTTTACTGATAGGTATATAATCACTTTTGTTGTAAAGTGTAGTTCTGTAAGAATGTATACTTAAAACATTCTTTGGTTGTCATATAGTGTAGAACGATGACAATATTTTGTTCTAATGTTTATCTGTAATACCAGTACCTAAAGGCATATTTGTTATCAATTATTTTGGTTCAAAATTCAATAATCCTATATGTATTTTTTCTTTGGAGATGGACAGGAAATGTTATAATAAAAAAAAAAATCTCTAGCCAGTTTGTGGTTGCATACACCTTTAATTCCAGCACTCAGGAGGCAGAGGCAGATCTCTGAGTTTGAGGCCAGCCTGGTCTACAGTGTGAGTTCCTGGACAGCCAGAGCAACACTGTAAAAACCCTGTCTCAAAATGGAAAAAAAAAAAATCTCTGATTTGATATAGTGACAAGAAATTCAATAGAGAGTCTTCTGTTGCTTTTTTAAGAGTAATGAAATCAAGCTTTGGATAAAAATAAGGACATACTAGGCTTCAGGTAGTAAGTCCTAGGGCAGCCTCCATGATGACTGTCATTCCCTCCCTGTCCAGTGTCACTGTCTCCAAAACTTGTGGCACAAATACCAACAGATAGTGGAGTGTCACAAAATGCATGACATCAGGAATTACAGAACCCTTGAATTTAGATATCAACTTCATCACAGTGTGATGTTTTGTGTGCTTAATGAAGTACTGACTTTACCCTCTGAAAGCTTCAGTTTATTTATAAAACATGGATAATCCCTTCTCTCAGATTTGTTTGAAGGTTATACAAAATAATATACCCACACTATTTAGCATGCTCTCTAAAAAGTAGTTCTAACTATATAACCAGCCAGGAGTGTGCTTCAGTGGAAATCTAAAAGCAAATCCCCTTAGGGAGGAACAAGTATACACCACCAAAGTCTAACTGCTAGAGAATGTCAGGACCTGCCCCTGCCATCAGGTCTGAAAATGGGAAATCCATAAATACTGTCATCCAGTTGTTAACTAGCTGGATATAGTGGCACATACCAGTAATCCTAGCACTTGGGAGATGGAAACAGGAAAATAATGATGTTGAGGCCAGCCTGGGCTACACAGCAAGAACCCACACACACACTTTAAAAAAAAAACAAACAAAGTTGGCCCATTTGGTAACTTTATATGGAGTCCTAAACTAGAAATTCACATTTAAAACAAAATATTCCACATAAACATTACACTGAAATAGTTTTAACAAGAAAAGTATAAAAGCAAATATAAAAACATTTCACTTTCCTAGATACTACATATACAGAACTGGCAAAAAAATAAATAAAATTTCCTCTTCCTAAAATTCTTAGAAACCAAATTTTTTTTAAAAAAAATTGTAGCAATAACTTCATTTTAACAAAAACTGAATTATTTTGTGTTTTGTTTTTTTGAGAATGAGTCCCACTATGTAGCTTTGGCTGTCCTGGAACTCACTATGTAGACCAGGCTGGCCTCTACCTAACAGAGATCCTGTTTCTGCTGCCTAAGTGCTGGGATTAAAGGCATGAGCCACTACCCAGCAGTCAAAAACTGAATTTTACAAGTTATGTTTCTCTGGCTCATTTAAATGGAATTTGATCAGTAACTGAGTTTAAATCCTGGCTTCACATGCCATTTGTGTAACTATGTCTCCTCAGTTCTAAATCAGATGTAATAAATAATACTGCCTTCATTCCATGGAATGTGTGTAAAGTGCTTGCTTAGCCTAGTGCCCCACACATAAAGTGTTTCCCATCATAAAGATACTGAAAAGCCCACACAGTAGCAAAAGCTTGTATTTACTTGGTGTTTCTCCTATGGGTTCGTTTATGAGTGATGAGATGCATATTCACTCTAAAGCTCTTCCCACACACCGTACATTTGAAAGGTTCTTCCTTTATGTGGTTCTTCTCATGGGATGCAAGTTCTGATTCTAAAGCAAAAGTTTTTGCACATGTTTTACACTTATGAGGTTTTTCCATGTCATGAATGGTTTGATGAGAAACAAGCTCTGAGAAACAAGGAAAGGTCATGTCACAATCAAGACATTGTAAAGGTTTGAATCTGGAGAATGAAAAAAAGTCTTCATCGTCAATACTGCAGTTCTTAGAGTCCTCCTTATGGTCCTTCTCAGGGAGAGCAGGGTATGAGGGCTGCTCTAAGCTCTTCACACACTGAGCGTGCTGGAATGGGGTGTCTGATGAGCCTGTTTTTTCAGGCAAAGCCAGATTTGTTTCCTGACAATAATGTTGATCACGGTCAGCACATTCATAAGACTTTTTATCAGCATGACTCTTCTGATGTTCTGCCAATCCTGGAAGCCACATAAAGCCTTTCCCACATACATTACATGTATATGGTTTCTCCTTTATATGGCTATTCATGTGTCGGGACAGGTGTGACTGCTGCCGGAAGCTGGCAGCACACTTGGTACACTTGTAAGGCTTCTCCCCAGTGTGGATTCTCTTATGTGTCCTCAGGTTAGTTCTGTGACTGAAGGTCTTCTCACAGGTATTACATTTGTACCTTTTCTCTCGTGAATGAATTTTCTGATGCAGAACAAGGTATGTGTTATCACTGAAGCTTTGGTCACAGTCGGGACACTTGTACACATTTTTGGCTTCTTCCCAGGGAACTTCAATAATATCAGAAAGTGCTCTGACTCCTAAACATTGAGATAATTCTACTAATGGGGTTTGGTTTTCAATAGTGACCAAGAGGCTTATAACTTTGGTCTTGCAAGTCAAAGTTCCGCCTGACATTTTCCTTTCATGTGTTCCAACGTCATCCTCAGACTTTTCGGAGGAATGCACGAGGGGTGCTGCAGTGGAGTGCGTGTCTAGGGACAGCTCTCCAGGCTCCATAGACTCTAGGCTTAACTGCTGACTGGGTTCAGTCTTGTCTTCCCCTCCTGGTGATAAAAGGAAAACACAGACACCACCCTTTAAGTGATACTAGAGAAAGAACAAGTTAAAGTAGTTACACAGCACACCAGAAACTGAAAATGGGTTAGCGTATTACCCAGACACTAATAATACACAAAATCAGGAGCCAGCAGGCTCTCCTGGCTTCCCCAAATCAAAAGTCTATCTGTGTGGGTGGACTGCAAGGTTCTAGGTCAATCTGCAAAGAGAAGGAGCAGAGGATGACTCTAAGACAGGGTTCGGTGAGATGGGTACTGAGGACAATCTTGGTAGGCAGTGCCTAGAAATGTACTTTTTCTGTTTAGTCTATTTAGGTTTTAGGAATTTTTCATTATCTCAAATGGGAGTTGAGTAGTCAAAACTGGAATGGCGATTAGACATAGTGGAAAAGAAAACTATTTTAATAAGCACCTATTTTAATAAGCATAAAATTATTAAAAAGTTCTATATCCTAGAGGGTCTCTAAGATTTCGTCCTTCAAGGAAGAATGATCATGATAAAGCTGCTGTGCACAGACTGCTGACAGTGACTGTCTCATCTCAAGGAGGGCGAACAAAACCTGAACCCAGGTAAAGAATTCCTGTTAAATAGTTTCCCTAATACAGCCATCACAAAATACCCATAGGTTAGAGTTGCAGATTCAACGAATTGCAAGTTGAAGATTTTCTTTCTTTTTTAAATCACATCTGTAGGGGCTGGAGAGATGGCTCAGTTGTTAAGAGCACTGGCTGCTCTTCCAAAGGATCTGGGTTCAATTCCCAGCCACATGGCAGCTCACAACAGTCTGTAATTTCAGTTCCATGGAACCCAACACCCTCTTCTGGGGAGGCACCAGGCATACACATGGTGCACAGACATACATGAAAGCAAAATATTCATATACACAAAAATAAAATAAATCTTTAAAATATACAAGACAAATATATAAAATAATCAATGTCTAAAAATCCAGTCAAACTTTGCCAGGCATGTAAGGAAAAGGAACACACAACTCATAACAAGGAGAAAAATCAATCAATAGAAATAGATCCAGAAATGATACAGATGATTATAATTAGCATGTCCACATGCCTTTAATCCTAATACTTGGAGGCAGAGATGGTAGCTCTCTGTGCGTTCAAGGCCAGCCTGGACTACATAGGGAGTTCCAGAACAGCCAGGGCTACATAGAGACCCTTTTTCAAGAAACCAAATGAATAATAAAATCAGCAAAGAAAGTAGCAAAAGAGCTATTACAAATATACTATATATTTATTTATACTATAATACATTTTAAACTATAAACATAAATATATAAATAAACATGTTCAAGAGAAGGTGGAGAAGAACATGAACATAACAGAAATAGAAAATATAAGCCCATGAATTATGAAAAATAGTTTAGGTACCCAACCCTAGACAAGACGTAATGTCTGTTCAGGCATAAGGATACTGCATCCATATTCCTTGAGTGGGAAAGTCAGAATACCTCCTTAAGAGAAAATCAGTTCCCAATCTTTAGCAAATGACAATAATCTATACTAATGAAGTTTTTCAAGTAAAACTACTTTGATTCCAACAATTATTTCAAGAGATTACAAAGTACTGGTCCATAGTATGTGAAACCAAGGTCACCATTGTAGACTGGGTTTCTTTTAAGAACTCACTTCAAAGCTCCGGAGATGGCTTAGCAGATAAAATGTTTGCTGTGTAAACTAAAGACAGGAGTTTGAATCCCCAGCACCCAATAAAAGCCAGGTAGATGTTGTAGCCCACCTGTTATCCCAGCACTCAGGATGTGGAGATAGGGGATCCCAAGGCAAGCTGGCTAGTCAGACTTCAGTAAATAGAGTGGAGAGTGATTGAGAACACCTGACATCAACCTCTGGCCTTCACACTCTCACATACACATGCAAGTGCACTAGCGCTCACACTAAGAAAAAAAAATCACTGCAGACTTTGAAACTTGTTCCGTCATCCAAATTCTTGCCATAGCCATATAAATCCATACACACGCACACACACACACACACACACACACACACACACACGAATCTCACACACAGGTCCCACTTCACCACCAATGTGGACAAGTCATAAAATTCTCATCCTAGAACTGATAATGAAAGTTCCATAATGCAGAACTGTCTTACCTATCAAGTCCAAATCCTCAAAACACTCCAGTGGGGCTTCTCTGCTGTTGGTCTTCTGGGCAGGAGGCAGACTCACACATTCCTCTTGAGAAAAATACACATCCAGATCTTCAAACAGCTGTGGTCCCTGGAACAGGAGATCTCTGTTAGTAAAGAAGCTAGCAGGTCAGTTCGAGTGCTAATCTAGGAAGGCTGAAAAGAGCTAAACCCCTTCACATATCAAAAAGAAAAGGCGAGCCGGTCGGGAGGCAGAGTCAGGAGGATCTCTGAGTTCGAGGCCAGCCTGGTCTACAGCTCGAGATCCAGGACAGGCACCAAAACTACACGGAGAAACCCTGTTTCGAAAAACCAATATAAAATAAAGAATAAAAGAAAAGGCTTGGTGTAAAACATTCTTCAGCTGCCGGGCGGTGGTGGCGCATGCCTTTAATCCCAGCACTCGGGAGGCAGAGCCAGGCGGATCTCTGTGAGTTCGAGGCCAGCCTGGGCTACCAAGTGAGCTCCAGGAAAGGCGCAAAGCTACGCAGAGAAACCCTGTCTCGAAAATCAAAAAAAAAAAAAAAAAAAAAAAATTCTTCAGCGAGGGATTCTACAAGTAGGGGGGGGAGGACATAAATTTTGAAACAGAAGCGTGAGAATCTAGAGTGTACACCGTGAGAATGTAGCCTTTCCTGAAAATTTGAGTGAACAATTTTTGGGGAGAGAAATCTTTAGGTAAGGGAGGAGGAGAAAGAGGGAAAAAGAAAAAAAGACTGGCCAGTCCAGTGAGAATCCTGAGATAGTTTTCAGGAGTTTCCTACATCCTTGGCAGTCTTGTCTGTCTTCCTCAGCTCCTCCCATCCCTTCAAGATCTCGTTCTCGGTCCTACAACCCCATGGCGCTTTTGGTGTGGTTAAAAATCACCTGGGCTTTATCATCACTGTCCAACAGGTGTGGAGCCTAGCAAGCTGCCATTGGGAGAAGCATTCCAGCAAGACACTTGGGGAAACCGTTACCCCTTGACCAGGGCTCTCCTCCCCATCTGGTGCTTCCGAAATGAGGAAGCTGGTAAAGCCTAGGAACCAAGGCAACTCGGGGAAAGGGCTACCTGAGGAGGCAGAGTCAGGACCCGCGCGTCCGACCCTGTGGCGAGGAGGTCAGGGCACCCGCGGGGAAACAGCGACAGAATTCACCTGCTCATCTGACGTGCTGAGCGGGGACGCCATGTGGGGAAGCGAAGGGGTCCTCCTTCAAGTCCCCACGGTGGGGGACACTTCGAGGGGAGAGACTAGTCCCTAGAGCCTCCGCTGCGGCTGCCAGGCCTTTCCACGCCCCCTCAGGTTCCTCGAAACCCTCAAGCTCCTTTGAGAATCCGAGGCGACGGCATCTTCCTCCAAAACAGCCTCGCCCGGGACCCGCTCGGCAGCCCCAGCGCTGACAGGCTCGCCCCGCCGGGCCGGCGGCACGAAGCCACGCCCAGCCGAGACGCGACAAAGGAGGCGGAGGCCAGCGCAAAACTCCCACGCTCCCGAGCTCCCCGCGCAGAAGCTGAGGAAACCGCCGGAAGCGACGCGCCCCCGGCTCAGCCACCGCTCCCTCTGATTGGTCGGCGCGCTCCCAAGGCGGCGGGCCCTCTTCCATGGACCAATCGAGCAGCTTCCTGAGGACCAGACTCGCACCCGGCAACTGAGAGACGTAGTTATTCCCGAGCGTCTACGAGCAGCTGCTTCCGGTTCCGCCGGCTGGGTCTCGGGGGTGAGTGCCCGGCCTGCTGGTGGGCTCTGTGGGCGCAGTCCATGGCCGCCGAGCCCCGGTGACTCCCAAACGGAGAGTGCGGGGACGCGCCGGCGCGGTGGGCCTGAGGTGTTTAGCGGACGGGGTGAGGAGAAGGGCAGGCCTCGAGTCCCGGGCCTAGCCTGGGCCCCGGCCCTGCGATTCCGGACTGTGGGCCACGGGACGGGAGTCCCCGGTTCAGGCCAGGTTAGCGAGGTTGCTCGTCCGGCCCAGAGTACTCGAGGGGCACGAGGCGCTGTCCCCAGGAGAAGTCCAACAGCGAGAGTGGAGCGCGCGGCTGACATCGAGCGATCTCCTTGGCAGGACCCGCCCCAGCGGCAAATGTCCTGTAACCAACACTGAGTAGCGAACTGTAGGTTCAAAATCAGAAATCTTGCCAGAACTGCCACTAATTGGACGATTTTGCCTAAATTGTTCCTCTGTGGTATTGAGGATGAACCTATGGCTTCACACACAGTAGACGAACACTCTACCACAGAGCTGTACCCAGGCCCTCCCTCATCCTTTCTTTTTAAACTTTACTTAAAACAGAGGTTGACCGAGGCTAACTTTGAACTCACTGTGTAGCCCCAGCGGGCCCTGCACTTAGGATCCTCTTGCTTCACTACCCCCATCGCGGTCACCCACCCAGACTGGACAGTTTTTAACTTGGCTGTCCTCCACTGCAAAGAGCCCATAATGCTTCTCTTTGATCATTTAGAGGATAATTTGAAATATGAAATGTTAAAAGAATCGCCAGTTTATGAAGGAGTTTTGGGGAGGAGGATAACAAACAAGATTAGTACCTTGAAAATTCTGAATAAATCCCAGTTTTTCTCACTTTCTTTCTTTCGAGATAGGGTCTTACTCTGTGGCCTTGGCTGCACTGAAGCTTGCTATGTAGACCAGGCTGGCCTCCAACATAGAGAGATCTGTCTCTGCCTCCCGTATTGCTGGGATTAAAGGAGTGTGCCACCATGCCCAACACCAACATAATTTCTTTCCTTTTTTTTTTTTTTTTTAATATAGTGTTTCTCTGTGTAATAGCCCACCCTGGCTTCGAACTCACAGAGATTCACCTGCCTCTGCCTCCCGAGTGCTGGGATTAAAGGCATGGCAGCCAACATAATTTCATTTAGCATACTGAAAATGGCAATGGAATACATATAATTCATGCTAACTCTTCTTGTGTTGTGTATCCATCTCAAGTTTATCAAGATTGAGGATTCACTAGGGTTTGGCCTACCATGCTTCAGTACAGTACTCTGGCACAGGAGAAGGATCTAACATGCTCTGGGAAAAGAAAAAGTAGAAGTAGAAAACCTTACAAATCACTAACATATATTACAAGGGACATCTACTGATAGCTAAGGTGTCTGGAAATGGATCGCTAAGGAGGCTATCTAAGGGCCCAGAATAAAAGAGAAAAATGCTTCAATGACAGACAAAAGAATAAGAACAAACTTCCCTACAGACCATTTCAAAACACATACATTGAAGAAGAGCAGTACGTAGTCCTTAAAGCAAAGGTATGTCTTGATGCAACTCACGTGATCATCTTTCTCCTCTTGTTTTGTGCTTGCCATTTTTTTCATGGATGTCTCATTTGGGCTAAGAATCTCCCAATACAGAGCTATGGCTCTTTATATTGAGCCATATTTTGATTATTACAAAGATATAAGCAAATTCCAATGTCCAGAAACTAAGTAATAACTTAGTATCTAAACAGAGAAAAGGTCAGCCCTAAAATGGGTGAGTCAAAATTGTCCTCAGCCCTCTAAGCAGTGGTAGCACACCCTTTTAATCCCAGCTCTAGGGAGGCAGAGGCAGGTGGATCCCTGTGAGTTCAAGGCCAGCCTGGTCTACAGACTGAGTTACAGGACAGCCAGGGCTACACAGAGAAACCCTGTCTTGAAAAACCACACATACACAAAATTTTTCCTCAGCCCTTGTAGACGTTAAGTACCAAGCCAAACAAACAGACCAAAAATCATGAAACATGAAAACTTGGAACTTGCATAAAGTAAGAGATGAGAGAAAAAGTCTAAGATGAACAAAGATGGGAAGTAAGTAGAGTACTTGCCTGACATGGTCTGGTCCCTAGCACCACATATACTGGGTGTAGTGATGTGCGTGCCCTCTTCTAACCGAAGCATTACAAACTGAGGTGGAGGCAGAAAACCCAGCAGTTCAAGGTCATCCTCAGTTCCACAGTTTGATGACAGCCTGGTTACAGGAGACCTGTCTCTAAAACAGAATAAATATTACTCCTTCACACTTTTACCATTTCCTGACATTTGTAGCACTGTTTACTATCGACTGCTTGTCTTGCTATTTTCTACCACCATCTTGCCTCATTTGTATTAAATATATGAATAATCTCCTTTCCCCATTATGAATTATGTTTCCTTCATAAACTTTTTCCTGGCTACCTAATATATGCAACTAAAAATTAATCCAAATCCACTCCCATAACACTATATTGCTCTTGAGATGCCCAATACATTGTAATATCAAAAGACTCCCATTCTGCTGAGTTTTTATTATAAATGGATGTTGAATTTTTCTCTATTAATATGATTGTATTGTTTATTAATGTGTTAAGTAACTGTGACATAAAACATTAACCCAAGCTTATAATTCCTGAAACAAAACAAAAAACACTTAAACATCTTCCCATGTACATATACGTGCATATACACTCACACAGACACATACACAAAAGCTAACAAAGTCCATCATTTGCAAGGTTTTCCATTCTCACTTTCAATGGCAATATCAATGGCAATAGAAAAATCTGTATGAATGGGAGTTTTCTCTCTAGCCAAGTGTCTTCCTTCTGAAGATCTAAACATCTAAAGATCACATCTTATTAAATTAAAAATAACTTAAGACTAGTATGGTCTGCCATGGTGACACAGGCCTTTAGTCCTAGCACTCAGGAGGCAGAGACAGGCAGATCTCTGAATTCAAGGCCAACCAGGTTTTTCATGTTGAGTTCCGGGCCAGCCAGTGCTACATACTGAAACCCATCAAAAAGAGAGAGACTGGTGTGGTGGTATATACCTATAAACCCCTGCACTCAGAAGTTTGAGACAGCATACTATAAAGGCCCTGGGTGGATGTTTCATTGCAAAATGAGGACAGCACCTTTCAGTGTTGTTGAGAAAATAAAAGAATACATTTGAAGGACTAGCAGAGTATTTAACATGGCAACTATATATTCACTCATACTCAGTTCTAAAAATCCTACTGTTTTCACAGTAAACACTTGTTGAAATCCTTATCACATGAATCTTCTTCAAAGCAGAGTGTGTTCTGAATCCACAGTGCCTGATTCCTCTGTTAATGAGGAAAAGAACTGAACTTCAAAGCTTGACCCTTGCACTTTGTTTTGTTTTAGTGTGTGTGTGTGTGTGTGTGTGTGTGTGTGTGTGTCTACACTTGTGTGTTGGCCTAAGTAAGCATGAGAAGGGCAGATAACCTTGGATGACATTCCTCAACTGCTGTCACGTTTTTGTTTGGTTTAGGTTTTTGGAGACAGGATCCTTTACTGGCCCGGACCTTGTGAAGTTACCTAGGCTCACTGGCCATCAAATCCCGGGGATCTACCTTTCTCTGGTTCTCCAGTGCTGGTATTATAGGCATACCACACCTGTTATGTTTGTTTTCATGCGGGTTCAAAGGATCAAATTCAGGTTCCTGGGCTTCAACAGCAAATACTTTATGTGCTGGGCCATTTCCTCAGCCCCACTTTGTTTTTGAAACATGGTCTCGTGGTTCTCCAGGCTAGTCTAGAACTTGTTAGTAAGCAGAGGCTGGTCTCAAGTTCCTGGTTTCCGTGTCTCAGAAGTTCTGAGATTACAGGTGTGTGTCATCCCAGTCAAGTGCACACTTGGATTTTATTTCTGAAAAGACAGTGTTCTACCATGAGAATAAGATCCCTGAAAAGATACTAAGAAAATGATAAACACGATTACCCGAGACTTCTAGTAGTAGAGTCAGAGGAGGAAACATTTTCCCTGGGAATCCTTTAATTCTATCTAAAATGTTTGCCACAGACATGCATTGTTTCTTCTCCTTTTTTTTTAATGGTTTAATGTCAGAAAATCACTTTGTGTGAAGTCAGACTCAAAACATCTTGAACAAGTTTGTAAAAAGAGTGAAGTTTAAATATGATGGTTCTTTCAAATTGAAAAAAAAAAATGGAGCTGAGCATGTTAGCCACTATCTATATAAAACTAGTACTTGGGAGGTAGAGGCAGAAGGATCAGGAATTCAAAGCCAGCCTTGGCTAGATGACAAGTTCAAGGCCAGTCTGGGTTGTATGAGAACCTATCTCCAGAAGAAATTGAGAAAAAGAATCAAACCTACTAAGTTGTCTAGGAAAGGCACTGGCCATGTGCCTTGCTGCAGCAGGTAGAGTCACTGGTAAACCTACCTGGCAGGCAGTTGGGTTTGTTTCCAAAGTTAGAATGTGGCTAATTAAAAACAATTTTAACTAACATTCTAGGAATTTTTCCTAAAGAAATACACACGGTCCCCAACTTAGCATGCCTCCACATAAGTTTTTTAGCTTTCCAATAGTAGATCATTCACATTTAGTGGAAACCATACTTCAACTTTTGGTTGTTTTCTAAGCTAGTAATATGTGGTACAATACTTTCCTGAGGTGTTGGGCAGCAGGTGCTACCACCCCCAGTGAACCCTTTGAGCAGAGCAATCATCCAGCACTCTACGGTGTACTATGCTGCCAGGACTGTTTGGATATAGGTGGCCAACACATTACATGAGATGGTTTTTGCCTAACTAGAGGCTTATGTAAGTGTTCTAAGCATATTTAAAGTAGGCAAAGCAGTGATGTTTGGCACGTTAGATGTAGTACATTCATTTTTTATTATTTTGGTTTTTTGAGAGAGGATCTTATATAACCCAAACTGGCCTCAAATTCACTTTTGTAGCTAAGGATTACCTTAAATTCCTGATTCCTTGCTTCCAATTCCCAAAGTTCTGGAATTATAGGCATGCACCACCACATCCAACTTTTTTTTTTTTTTTTGGTTTTTCGAGACAGGGTTTCTCTGTGTAGCCTTGCGCCTTTCCTGGAACTCGCTTTGGAGACCAGGCTGGCCTCGAACTCACAGAGATCCTCCTGGCTCTGCCTCCCGAGTGCTGGGATTAAAGGCGTGCACCACCACCGCCCGGCCTCACATCCAACTTTTAATGTGTGTGTGTATGCGCGCAAGTGTGTATATGTGTGTGTGTGCGCGCACTTGAGTGCACTCGAGTGTCTGCACTTGTACAAGTGCACAGGTGGGTATACGAGACTAGAGTTAGATGTCAGTGACCTTATGGCTCTCTACCCTTTTTTGTTTTTCATTTTTTGTTTTTTGAGACAGGGACTCACTGAACCTAGAGCTTGTCATTCTGGCTGACTGGCTGGCCAGCAGGACGCTGGAACCTGTGTGTCTCAGAACCCCATGCTCTGGCTGTAGACTCGACACTGCAGCAGCTTCTGTGGGTGCCAGGGATCTGAAAGCTCTTCATCCCTGCACAGCCAGCATTTATGACTGAGCCTTCTCCCCAGCCCCTAATGCATTTTAGCTCAGGATATTTTTATCTTATGGTGGGTTTATCGGTGAATCCTCATTGTGTGTGGTGCAGCCTCAGTAATCAAAGTATGTAGATGTGTCTTCTTTCAATATTCCCCATCAATGCCTAAATAGTGTTAGAATAACATTATTACTCGGTTCTGCTCTGCTCTCCCCCAGTCCATCTACTGACTCCCTTCCACAGACAGATCTGAAGTAAGGCCATGCCTGGGGCCTTCCAGAGGAAGTTTAGTATCATTTAGGGATGGAGTTAGAGAGCAATACTGGATTCTGTTCAGCAAGGGGCTGGATAGAGTACAAGGACCATGAGGACAACTAGGGTGAATATTAAAATGCCTCAACTTCTGGAGAGATTCTGACTTTGGAGATTCTTGGGACGTCAGAGAAGAAGCAAAGAGCCTAAGCATGTAGTTGAAAGCTTGCTGCTGATCCTGGGCCAGAGAAGCCTGATTCTATCCCTGTCTCCAAGGCTAGGGAAGTGCTGGGGAGCTGAGCAGAATTAAGGCTTTCTCTTTGAGGGCCAGTGGCAGCTTGCTTTCTCTAGCTTACCCCTACTGCAGTACCTTTAGCAGTCTGTTTGACTGGAAGCCAGACATGAGAGGAACCATGAGTAAGCCAGAGGAAAACAATTAAATGCCTGATAAAGTCCTTAGGAGCTAAAGGGAAAAGAAACAGAACTCAGCACAGGGCTCCTGATGAGAAACTGAAGGAGAGAGATGCAGCTTTGTTCAAGCTGGAACAGACTCACTTCAGTAGACTGAAGGGGGCGGGGCTGGTTATTACAAAGCTAGTAGCCTGCTGAGTGAAGTGGAGGAGCTAGGTAAAAACACATCAGGAGAAAATGAACTAGAAGGCACAGTCTTGGATGCTTAGTCCTGTGCTGATTCGGATTAATCCCAGTGGCGAGAAGATGCCCCCTCCCCTTGTCCTGCTTAGGGTTAGCTGAACTAGTCAGTGAGTCAGGGGAGAGCAGAGTGACATTAACTGATTAAACCTTGTAGATGACTCTGGAAGCAAGGCTCAGGTTAAGGCCACCCACATGGGAGAGTAGCTCTGGTTTTGTTTTTAGGAGTTAGATGTGTTTACTATCATTGCAGTACCGCAGTGCTGACCTTGTCCAGAGGATAAGTGAGACTTGCTTACTACAACATCTAGTAATAGGAAGCTCCGGGAAGATAGTAATTAATTCCTCATCGGTGTTCAAAAATAGTGGTTTTAGGGCTGGGGGATGGCCTAATGAATAAAACACTTGCTGCACAAACATGAGAAGTGGAATTTAGGTCCCTGGAGCACACATAAAAGCTGGGCAGGTATTGCAGTCTCCTGTAATCCCAGCACGCAGGAAGTAGAGAAGGAATCCTATGGCAAGCTGGCCAGCTAGTGTAGCTGGGATTGGTGAACTCGAGTTTCACTGAAGGACCCTGCTTCAGTAAATCAAGTGGAAAGCCGTCCAGGAAGACCTCTAACATCAACTCTGAGCCTTCACAAGCACACATGCACATGCGCACACATGTGCAGGTACACATTCAGACATGCACGTACATGAGACAGGATCTCAACAGACACCTTTGAATTTGCTCAGCCAAGGCTTTGTCAGTTTATTCTCAAACCCTGGAAGCCGGAGGTTTACAAACCCAAGGTGTGTTTCTCTATCTTTAGTGTCCTCCCATTCACCTGTGAATGCTGTTGGATGCCACTGAGTTAAACACCAAGTCTGACCGAGACAGTCTGAGAGCGTTCTCATTTCTAACAAGCTCCAAGGTGATGCTGATGCTGAACCCCAGCCCAGATAATGTAATGAGGATGCAGGTTAGGGGTTTGCCTCTCCTCGGTCACTGAATGAGTTTACCACTACGTTCTAGCAAGTAGGAAATGGGAGAGAGAGGGAGGAAGTGGGGAGTAGGCAATTTCCTTTTCATAGCCTCACCTTTTTACTTTGAAATTTCAAATCTGAATATTGAGTAATGGAGTGTACATTTAACACAGTTTTATCATTGCTGTCTTAGCAGTGTTATTTCAAGAATGTGACACAAGGTGAATACATCACATTCCCTCTTGCCTCAGCTTTCCTATGCTGGGATTACAGGCGTGTGCCAAGATCACATCAAGATCAATCTTAAATATTTTTCTGCAGCAAGTTTAATTAGAAATAGTTTCAGTAATGATACATGAAGTGTAATTGTATTGAAGGCTCAAAGTGACCTGAGTGGGTCCAAACATGCTTATTACAGCTGCTTTTTTGTTTGTCATACTTCAGTCTACAAAGTTGTACATTTTAAGTCTTCATTTTGTCCAAGTGACTTTCCAGCCTTCCTTAAAAATTCTACAACTTATACTGTCATAAAAAGAAAATATAAATACTGGTTGCTTTACAAAAATCCCACCAGTCATATGCACCATACTACACAGGCAAGATAGTTAACTATTCGTGGTTATTTCTATCACCTTCTCTACAGTTGTGTGTGTTGTGGAGGATGGGACCCAGCCCTGTGCATAAGGTAGGGGCCTTCTACCATTTAGCTACAAATGCAAACCCCACATTCTAAAATCCTGAGGAACACCTTACTTTTCAAAATGTTAAAAGAGTACGGCTTTGATGTTTCAAAAATAGTGCTGTTTTACAGAATTTGAGACACGAAAATATTTTGATGTGTTATCTTGGATATTAATTACATCTTTTCAGGGTTATTTTAGCCCTCAGCTGTACAGATTCTGTTCTTTTGTTTTGGTTTGGTTATGTAGATCATTGTAGTTATCCGAAAGCAAAGGACAAACTGTCAACACAAGTTCCCTGGTAACAAGAACTGAATTATCTTTGATTACATCTGGATACAAACCCCTACTCCCGTCCTGAAAGCCACCGTCACTTGCCCATTGCAGTGACAGCCCAGAACCACCCTTCTGAGGATGTCAGCGCGAGCGCGGGGCGGTGCCATTGAGTCAGGGCTTCCTGCAATCACCAGCGCTGGCGTCTACTAACCTCTTGGAGGGAAGAACAGGCCAGCGGCGGGGCCCCCCGTGCCGTTCAGCGTCTGGTAGGCCTCCTGGCTCCTCTGACCCGCTTGATCGCGGAAGGGCGCAGAAACCCCGGCCCGCTGCCCGTGTACGCACACTCAAGCAAGGGCGGCTCAGCAGCTAGCGGCTGTCCTGTGCTTTCGCAGCCGGTGCGAGCAGCTTTGGGAGCCGGCAAGCCGGGAGCCTGGGACAGCAGGCGGGGCCCGCTCCAAAGATGGTGGCGTCGGCGTCAGTGAGGGCGGAGCCACGTGGTGCAGCGACCAATGATCTTCCGGGCTGCGCCGCCGGCGGAGCACGAGAGGCGGAAGTGCCGCGGGGCCGCCTTCTCCGTCCCGGCTGCGGCCCCTGCCGGTTACATAACCCGTCGCGGGGGCCCCGCAGTTCCACGTCTGGCTTCCCGGCTCCCCCAGGATGCGCTGAGCCCCGCGACGCCGTACGCTGCCGCCGGCTCCCGTCCGAGGTGAGGCAGCCGAGGCCTCGGCGGGTGCAAGTCGGGGCGGTGGGGAGGTCGCAGCGGCGACCCCGAGGGCACTGGGAGGCCGGGTTTCCCAGAGAGCGCGTCCTTCCTTCCACAGACCCCTGCGCAGCCCTGCTTCTTAGCGCCCAGGCTGTTTCCGTGGCGGCGGCGGCGGCAGCGGCGGGGGCGCGGAGGGGCGTCGGGAGTTGGCCTTTTCGGGGACGCTCAGCCAGTGATCTCAGGAATTGGAAACGGAAAGGCAGCATCCTCTGGGTTTGCTGGAGGTGAGGGGTCTGTCTGGTCGTCTGGCCTCGCTCCCGCTTCTCTTTGGGGACTTGTTGCGCCGGTAGTAATTGCCGACTTACTTGCACTCGTGAAAGCCGAGGACCCTGCTTGGGGTTCCTCTGCGTCTTTTCATTCCGGCAAATGAAAACCTGCCATTTCTCTTTGCTAGCCAAGCTGACCCTCCATAATCGACTCTGGCTTGTCTCCTCTGAATTGGAAGAAACGCTTGCCAAGGAGAAGAGGGGATCTATGGCCAGTGCTGTTTGCCTTCTCCTGGGAAAATTGGGGCGGGGCCGTGAAAGGGGGGGTACACCGGGCCTTTCCTGAATCTCCAGCAAATGCCCACCTGCCCCGCTGGGTGTCAAAACCCGAGGCTTGGGGAGCGCAGGCTGCAATAAACATAAACTTTGGCTGTTTATTGATCTGTTAACTCTGCCAAGGCCTTGCTTGAGCCCTGTGCTTTTGGGTCATTCTTGTCACCCTTTGGTCTTGAAAGAAAAGACTAACAGCCTAACAGTGTGCCTCACAGTGGTGTCGTCTAGAGTGCTAATCAAGAGAGAAAGTTGCCAGTTACAGAGGTTTTCCTTTGTCAAAGTACTGAAAGCCTAAAATCCAGCAGAAATCATTTATGCAAATACTTGAGTCCACATAGCCATGTGACATGGAGGAAAGTTTACAAGTCTTGTGACTGTTCCCAGTTAAAACGTCAGGAAAAGGGGGTCGAGACAAGCAAAAAAACCCAGCAAATAAGTCCACACAGAGAGAAGCAAACCCACCCATTGGTGAACTACTCAGTGAGTGTGGATAGGATTAAACACTAGAGGAACCTGAAGGACCATCGTTCCAAGTGTAGACAGGTCATGGCAGAAAGCGTAAATCTTCCCATCTCCCTCTTTTAGGGTTTTTGTGTGCAACAAGAACAATATGCAGGACATAAACCCCCTGAGAGTTGGGTGTGCTCTTCCAACAGGTTGTGGTTTGCTAGAATTTCAACTCACAGACCTAGACAGTTCCATGTCAGGCTTCCCTGACTGAGTTTCTATGAAAATTGTTAAAACTTGTCACAGAATCAGGCCTGGTCTGGTATGAGCACACCAGAGCCAGCACAAAACATACAATTTCGGTTGTGTGTGTGTGTATGTGTGTGTTTTAAGTCTGTGTGTCCTATCTCTAACCTCTTTAGTTGTAACTTGAAGAAACTTTGTCATTGTTTAACCCACACCCACACACAGGTATGGAGAGTATCTAGATTTGACTTGTCCAAGTTGCATAGCAACATGCTTCTGTCAGGAATGGAAGATGATTTCTGGATGTCAGATCTGAGGGATTAAAGATATCTTTAATCTTGGCCCTGAACCAAGAGCACAGGTTATAGATGACCAGGCCTGTGCTGGTGCCTAGAGACTGTGAGTGCCTCCGTGTACCTCTTAGTGCAGCATGGCTGTGGCAGCCTCGGCTCAGGTGGGTAGAGTCCCTCACTGATCACAGAGAACAGACAGACGGAGACAGGAGTCTTTAGAACTTGAGTCCTCACAGGCCAGAGCAAACACTGGATTGGATTCAGCAAATGGTTTTAAGTAACGTTGGTAACTTCAGGGCAGATTTCCTTACCTGTACAACATTCTTAGCATGGCCTCTGATGGAGGCTGGCTGGCAGGATAGTTGAGGGTCCGTCTGAAGCCCCGATACTCACACTGCTCACTGGCCCATGTGTTTAAATGGCAAACACAAACATACAAGAGTTTACTCTCTTCTCTGAGCACTAAGTGGCTTGCTCAGTGTTTATGGGGTGACAAGAAAGGTATCTAGCCTAGGAGCTAGGACTTCCTGCAAAAGTGGTTTGGGATCTAGGGTAATGCTGAGCAGTGCTTTACGGAGCTAGGGCACCCCAGTCCAGAGGTTGGCAGGACCATAACAGTAACCCTGAGGTGGAGTCCAAGCTAAGATGGTCAGGAAAGTGACAGCAAATAAGGTAACTTTGTCCTGTGTTTCAGCTCAGACCCCCTTTCCATGTCTTTACCTCAGTCAGAGTCCACCTGGCCAGGAGAGAAAGCACCCTCAAAATGATGGTGAGATTCGGCCAGATGTGGTGACACACACCTGTGTTCTAGTGTTTGAGAGGCAGAGACTGGTGGATCTCTGTGAGTTCAAGACCAGCCTGGTTTACATAGTGAGTTCCAGGACAGTGAGGACTACATAGAGAGATCTTGTCTAGGAGGTTGTGTGTATGTGTGTGTGGGGGGTGATGAGACTCAATTGTGAGTGTTACAACAGAGATTTTCAAATGTTTCTTCAAATTATAGGTAGATAACTACCTATTTTATCCTAAAATAGACTCTTAATACTGTGGTGATATTTGTAATCTAAGAAATAAAGCTTGCCTGAAGTTCAGAGGACAGAGCCAGCCACCGAGTTAAACATAAAGGCCAGGCAGTGGTGGCACACACCTTTAATCTTAGCACTTGGGAGGCAGAGATCTGTCTGTATCTCTGTGAGTTCAAGGCCACTGGACTACATGAGATTGATCCAGTCTAGGAGAGAAACAGAGCCAGGCAGTGATGGGCTATTATAAGATGTGAGGAGACAGGAACTAGAGAGCTTTTGATGAGGACTCGGGCATTCAATCAGTCAGAGGATTTGTGAAGTTGGCGAGGTGAGAAGTGGTGTGTCCTATTCCTTTGTCTCTCTGATCTTTCAGCATTTCCCCCAATATCTGGCCCCGGGTTTTTATAATAAGACCATTTAGGCTTCGTGCAACATAATACTGACTTTTATTTTTATTATTTATTATTTTGGTTTTTGGAGACAGGGTTTCGCTGTGTATCCCTGGCTGCCCTGGAACTCACTCTGTAGCCCAGGCTGGCCTCAAACTCACAGAGAACCGCCTGCTCCTGCCTCCCAAGTGCTGGGATTAAAGGTGTGTGCCACCACCATCCAGCCTTACTACTGCATTGTAAAGCCAGCATCCTAGGAATAGCATGGTATTTTAAGCACTGGTGCTAGAAATAAGTGTCCAAACACAGATTCAGAGTTCGGAGGAAGAGGAGGTGTTGTAAGTAGAGACAAAGAACGAACTGGAGGGAGTTCTGTTGCCTTGGTTTCCGTAGAAGATGAGGGTATTTTGCTGCTTTAAAAGGCTGTATAGGGCATAACGACATAGACTTCTAATCCTAGTGTTCAGGAGGTGGAGGCAGGAGGATTGTCACAAGTTTGAAGCCAGCCTGAGATATATAATGAGTTTTCAAGTAAGCATGGGCTACATAGCAAGACCATGTCATAAGCAAATAGACTGGTTTTGAAAGCTCCCAGCTTTATTGTTTGTTTGCTTGTTTGTTTGTTTTTGTGGAGTGGTTATTGTTACCAAAAGAATAAAATGAAATAAAAGGACTGGAGAGATGGCTCACAGTTAAGAATGCTTTTCTTTCAGAGGACTTGGGTTTGGTTCCTAGCCTACATGGCCACTCACACCACCTAAAACTCCAGCTCCAGGGGATCTACTGCCCTCTTCTGGCCTCCATGGTCACGGAGCACCCATATAGTGCGCTTAAACACCCTCAGGTATACACACAATAATAAAGAAATCTTTAAATAAAGTGAAGCTGGTGTGATGGCTCATGCCTGTAATCCCAGCGTTGGTAAGGCTCAGGCTGAGGCTGGAGAATCAAGAGTTTGATATTGGGGGGCAGGGGTTGGAGATACGGCTCAGTAATTACGAGTGCTTGCTGCTCTTGCAGAGGACCCCTTTGGAATCCAATTTCAGACACTCGAGTGGTAACTCACATAATCATCTGGAACTCCAGTTCCAGGGGATCCAATGCCCTTTTCTGGCTTCAAGACACCAGGCCCCCTCAGAGTTCATGAACATACCTGCCGACGAAACACCCACATACATAAAACAAAAATGAATCCTTTCCCCTTCTTTTCAAGAGTTTGACGCCAGCCTGTGCTAACTAGCACACACTGCTAGCAAAACTGTGGCTCAAAAAGACATTTTTCCCTTTTGTTCCTGAAACGGGGTTGATTTGGGCACAATGGCATGGAAATAGGTGGGTGATTTTTATTTTATTTATTTGGGGGGTACTTAAAGGGTTCTTTTCTGGAAAATGTTGATACCATAGGGTTTCTGTCATTGCCATGGCATTCAAAAAGTGCTGTGGGGTGCTGCTCACATTTCTGTCTCGGAAAGAGGCCTGCTGGAACTGCGCTTGTAACCTGTTCAGAAGTGGCTCGCCCGTGCGCTCTGATAGATACTCCTCTCTGGGTCAGACACGTGCTGCCGCTTTCCTGCCTGAGTTTCGGGTTACTTGCCTTATCCTCTGGCCTCTACTTTGAACCTTTCACTGAAGTGTGTCAAAGTGCGCTACCTAGCAAATGAACAGAGTCTGGGCACACGTGCAGCCCACCAGCTGCTAACCAGACAAACCCTCTCCTTATGAAAATCATTCCCCTCATAGGACCTACAAGAAACTAGTAACAGTTGTATGGGGGTGGGATGAGCACAGAATTTTTAATTCTGCCTTCTGTTGTACTTTTTTTTTCTTTTCTTACAAAAATATTTATTTTATCTTATGTGTGTGCATCATGTGTGCGGTGCTGGCAGAGGTCTAAAGAGGACGTCAGATCCCCTGGAAACAGACTTACGTAAGCATGGTTGTAAGTCAATGTGAGGGTGCTGGGAACTGAACCTGGGTCCTCTGGAAGACCCGTCAGTGCTCCTAACCACTGAGCCACTCTCCAGCCCCTGCACTTGTTTTCTTTTGCAGTGGTAAGGACTGAACCGAGCGAGGGCCTTGTGTGAATGAGGCAAATTGCAACCCACGCATTTTCACATGTAGTTCAAGAGTATCCCTCTCCTTCTAAGAGTAGGAGAGTGTTTTTTTTTAAAGCCTTTTATGAAGTGATTACCTTAAAACTTGTAAAAGCTTTTAATTTTGGATTTTGTATAACCACTAGTGTTCGCTCTTTGCTGTTTACGAAGGAG